TATCCATTACCATTTACCACCAAATAAAAGTCCAATTTGTCCTGAAAAAAAAACAAGGTATAATCCACCTGGATGCACAAAGTAGTTGTGATGATATGTACGGTTTTACCAAGACAGGTCAAAGTTGCAAAATTGTGCTTAGGCATTAACATTTGTTTTACCCTTAGGCGTGGATGGGTTAAAGTGATAAAAGGTTCCGCTTTTTTTTTTTTAAACAAAAATGATATACTTACCTGCTCTGTGCAAGGGTTTTGCACAGAGCAGCTATGGCTCCTGCCCCCTACTGAGTGCCCCCAGAGCATGCACTAGTTTGTGCACGCTCCTGAGCCACCTCCGTGTGTCCATAAGACACAGAGTGCAGCACAACCCTAGCCCCCTCCCCCCCTCACTGGCTGTGATTGACAGAAGTGGCAGCCAATGGCTCTTGCTGCTGTGTCTCAACCAATGAGGAGGAGAGTCCCAGGAGAGCTACTGCTCTCATGCACATTGCTGGATCGAGACCGGGCTCAGGTGAGTATAAGGTGGGGCTGAGGGGGGAGCTGCACACTGAAGGTTTTTTACCTTCACGTATAGAATGCATGAAGGTAAAAGACCTTCAGCCTTTACAACCACTTTAAAGGAGTGGTAGTGCCAAAACTCTTTTGTAACTGCTTCATTCTGCACTCCTGTGACTCGTACTGAGCCGTCAGCGGGCGTTCATTGTCGTTTAACGTCACTCAGCTGGTCCAGACTCTGGAGAGATCCCGACTTTAATGTTGAGATCCACCCAGATGCCTGGACCAGCAGCTGTCTCAGCCTCTCAGAGATCCGAAGCCAGCCGCTCCCACCCCCTCCACAGCCCAGCACACCAGTAAGTGCTGGAGGAGCAGAGCAAAGAGAAGTGACTGACAGAAACCGGCTCTCTGCTCAATGAATACTGAGAACTGAGCGATCAGTGGTCTGTGATCACTCAGTTCTTGGTCTTAGGAGGAGGTGGGGGAGAGATGCTGCATCCACCTAGATGAGTACGATTGTTCGTATTTTTTTACAATCATGAATTTCTCTTTTAATATTGGGCAGGTCCACACAAAGCATTAGATTTTAGACTTTTATGCAGCCTTGCCTTTTTTGGCCATATTTTGAAAAACGAGGCAGATAAACGACAGTTGGTACTTTTTCCCTTTTGAGATTATGGGACAGGGACTTGGCTGTGTGTTTTAACATTTGCCTCACACTAAAAACAAGTTCATGTTATAGTTACTCTAACCTATTAAACCTTTAATATATTTCACTTAAGAATGCTATTTGAAGCCAATAAGGGACATTATTGACATGTCATGAGAAGTGTCCCTTGTGGTGATGCCGTATGTGATGGCTGCATTAGCTTCCTTTTTTAGGCGTTCTTTCTTCTATTTTCATCTGGCGATTCAGCCTGTAAGTCTGTTGAAAAAATGTTATGTTATGTTATGTTAAAAGAAAAAAAAATGTTTGCTGTAACTGATTATAAAGTCTTAGCTGCAGTTTGGCTTCAATTTATGAATGTATCTAAATTTACTAGTACATCTAACACTCACCACCCCCCCAGACTGAAAATGCTGGGCTATCCAAAAGGTGCCCCTATGCTCCTTCATCCAGAGAGGGGGCGCTCTAATACAGGTGTGTTACTGGCCAGATCACCAGGTGAAAACAGAGAGGAGAAAGCCTAAAAAAGAAAAACTATTGTAACCACCTCATCTGATGGTTGGTGAGCTGCAATATATTACACTTTTTGGTTTTGGGATTTTGGATCTTTATTAGTGGCAAATCTTACCTCCGTTGTATCTGCCTGGCAAAGTTGTTGCTGGACGCAGAGCATGGGAACTGAACGGCTTCGCTGTGCAGAGTCGCATTCCTGAACAGGTCACAAAAGTTTTCAAATAGTTCTAAAAGCTCATTTGATGTGTTTTCAAAAACAGCGATGACTTCTGTTGTCACCATGTTGTAGACCACAAAGAATGACGGCTAAAAAAAAAAATTAAAACAAAAACAAATCCAGTATTAAACATTCAGAAATATACTTTATCAAAGTGACACTAAACCCTCCATATAAACAATCTGCCAATCCAGCTGAATATTAAAGTATAACGAAAGGCAAAACTTTTTTTTTAAATTTTGGATAGAGTGGAGATGGATTAGAACCCCTGTCAGTTTTTAATGCTGTCTGTGACCCCATTAGGAAAATTCACCCTCCCTATTTGTCCTGTTTACCATTATCCAAAATTATGGGTTGTCCCCAGAAATCTTTCAATGGGGCACTAGTTCTGGTGACCTGGGGGTCCCCAAGGAATTCCCTGTATTTGCAGGGATTTCCCATCACTATGGGACAGGAAGTGAAGGGAAGTCCCCCCAATGGCATATAGATGTAGAAAAAAAAAAAAAAAAAAATCAGAGCTGGGTTATAAACCTCCCTTACTCTATCCAAAGTGAAAAAGTTCTACTTTAACCATTAGCCGCCCGGCCAATAGCCGTTTGGCGGCTTGAAAAGCGCTGCAGCTTTCCGGGTCCACGCCATTTGGCGTGCTCCCGCACATGCGCCGTTTGCGCTATTGCAGAGCGGCGCAGCAGCGGGATCTGTCACCGCCCGTGCACCTCGGACACGGCCGATGACAGATCCGACCGTCCGGCTCCCGTTGCCGGTACCATGTGACCTGCCGCGACCAATCACAGCAGGTCACATGACAGTTGTATACAATGGATGGCTTCATTCATGATGCCATCCATTGTATACTAGTGCCTAGCTGTGAATGGTCACAGCTAATCACATGCACATGTCATGTGATTAGCTGTGACCAAATCACAGCTAAGCACAAAAACAAAAAAAAAAAAAAAAAAAAGCTGAATGAATCGATTTCATTCAGCTAAATGCTTGCTTATAGCAAAGTAATTCTTTGCTATAAGCAAATTGTGTAAAAAAAAAAAAAAAAAAAAATACTGATCACTTCCCCAATAGTACAATGTTACTATGGTAACATTGTACTATTTTGGTCATAGTAAAATATGAAAAAAAATCTTAAAAAAAATAAAAAAAAAATGTAATAAAAAATTAAATATAATAAAAAAATAAAAAAAAAATATAATTTTTTTTTTTTTTCATACTGTCACCAGTCAGTGTCCCTGTTCACCGCCATGCCAGTTATATGATGACGCTGTACTGCACTGGTGACAGTATGTAAAAAAAAAAAAAGTGAAAATAATATTTTTCATTTTTTCATTTTCTGGAAAAATTATGACAAAAAAATACAACTTCAAAAAACTCGCCATGCCTCTTATGAAGTACGTCCAACTGTCTACTCAGCAAAAAGGGGTCATTTGGGGATATCTGTACTATTCTGACATTCTTGGACCTCAAGAAATTAGATTGGCTGTCAGTACTTCAGGATTGATCAATATTCAGATCTATACCATAGTTTGTGAACTCTATAACTTTCCTACAAACTAAATAATACATCCTAATTTGGGTTATTTTCACCAAAGACATGTAGCAGAATACATCTCGGCCTAAATTTATGAAGAACAATTATTTATTTGTAAACTTTTATAACAGAAACAAAGAAAAATGTGTTTTTTTTTCAAAATTTTTGGTCTTTTTTTGTTAATTTAGCAAAAAAATAAAAACCCCAGCGGTGATTAAATACCACCAAAAGAAAGCTCTAGTTGTGTGAAGAAAATGATAAAATTTTAGTTTGGGTACAATGTTGTATGACTGCGCAATTGTCATTCAAAGTGTGAGAGCGCTGAAACCTGAAAAATGGCCTGGGCAGGAAGGTGTAAAATTGCACGGTATTGAAACGGTTAAGTAACAAACAAAAACTATATTGACTGGAAAATCTTTTACTACCTTATTATCAGCATCTGGATTCCAGGCTTACCCTGCCAACCACTTAAGCACTGGTAGGTACTGAGCTATGAACAGTGCATGTATATTATGGTCACATTGCCTCATACTAATACATCTGCCAATGAATTAGCCCATGGGCTGTGATGAATAGGTCGATTTTGCAATTAAAAGATGTTACAGTGAAGGAAATAAGTATTTGATCCCCTGCTGATTTTGAATGATTGCCCACTCGCAAAGAAACGATCAGTCTAAAAATTGAATGGTAGATGTAGGTGTATTGTAACACTGAGAGACAGAATAGTAACACAAAATTCAAAAGAAATGCATGTCTAACAAATTCTGCACTGATTTGCATGTTCATGAGGGAAATAAGTATTTGATCCCCTATCATTCAGCAGGATTTATGGCTACCAGGTGTCTTTCATGCAGGTAACAAGCTGAGATTAGAAGCCGTCTCTTAAAGGGAGTGCTGCTAATCTCGTTTTGTTACCTGTATAAAAGACACCTGTCCACAGGAGCAATCAAACAATCAGATTACAAACTCTCCACCATGGCAAAGACCAAAGAGCTGTCCAAGGATGTCAGGGACAAGATTGTAGAGACCTACACAAGGCTGGACTGGGCTACAAAACTATGGCCTAGCAGCTTGGTGAGTTGGTGCAATCATTTGCGATCAGAGGGTTAACTGTGCGCTGTTTTACTGTGTGTGTATGTGCTTCACTGTAAGCACACTGCTATGTAAAGCCATGCATAGCAGTGTGCAGGAGCTGACAGGGCAGAGAAATGTATTGTTTACTTACAGTTCTCTCTCTATGTCACCTATGGTGATTTTTGTGCACCGTAGTTTTTGGTGATATTGCGGGCCCACACAATTTTAAGACATGGAATGTTTGGTATCTATTTATTCGATGCAACCATATCTTTTATATATTAACCAAAAATGCATATTCTATTGTGGGTTTTTGCACTAAAATTAATTTTTTTTTTCCTGAAAATTTGTGTTTATTAAACAGTTACACAAATATCATGTGACATAGAAATTTGCAACTATCACCTTTTTATTCTACAGGGCCCTTGCTTTAAAAATTTTTTATAATGTTCTGGGTTTAGGAATTTTTTTTTGCAAAAAAATTTAGATTTTTACATATATGCAAAAAATAAAAACAAATTGTTCTGGAACTGAACTGGGTATGGTCCATACATTGTGTGTGTAAAAAGCCTTCTAGATATAACATGGTTATTCAAGGAGAAATGTGAATTATGCGAGTAAAATACCAACCAGTATCATAGATTTTTGTTTTTGTTTTTTTGACTGAACAAGTATGCTAGTTTACTGATAGTTTACGAACCTGTATACACAGACCCATTGAAAGCAATGAGCAGGATTCAGATCAATAAAAAAAACAAAAAACCCTAAAAACATGGAGTTTTTGGCACCCACATGAAACCTCAATGGTCACAAAGGAAAAGCTCTATTATTTCTGATTAGCAGTATGATCCAATGCTTCTTTTCAAACCACAAATGGTTTGTTTACAACCAATGAATCCGGAAGTGACAAAATGCTCAATTTCAGTTTCTTAGACCAGGGGTCTCCAAACTTCTAAACAAAGGGCCAGTGTTCTGCGATTTAAATATTAGGGGCGCCGGACTGTGTCCAGAAGAAGTAGAAAATGCCCTGGCATTGGTGGGAGCAAACAATGCCATAGGCTTGGTGGTCAGTGGGACTAAAAAAAAAAAAAAAAAATAAATTAAATTAATTATTGGTGTAAGCAGGAGAATTAGTACACATCTATGGTTTCAGTGGGAGGAATAGTACTCCATTCATGTTGTCAGTGGGAGGAATAGTGCCCTGTCTTTGGTGTCATCGGAAGAAATAGTACCTCATATCAGTGGAAGGAATAGTTCCCCAAGGGCCAGATAAAAGCAAGCAAAGGGCCACATCTGGCCCTCGGGCAGCAGTTTGGAGATGCCCGTCTTAGACCACAGAGATGATTGGGGCCATTCTGGTCCCTGATCAGCTCTATGGTCAACTGGTGGAACCGCCGGTTAGACACTTGGGTCTCCCGATTGGAACGGGAGAGCCAGGGAAGGTGGCACGAGGATTGCTTTTACAAGAAAGCTAACCGCCAGCTGAAAAAATGATCCCCGGAATGATGCCTGCAACTGCAGGCAACATCCCGGTATAAGTACTCAAACTCCAGTGATGTGTCGGTATGTCTAATAAAAAAAAGCATGAGAAAATGACTCCTGCGCTGGACGATGAGCTCCACAATATCAGTAACCCCACATGAAACGCGTCAACCATTTGGAGGCCTACAGTTCCCCAACAGCCACCATCTAAGGCAGTGTTTCTCAACTCCAGTCCTCATGGACCCCCAACAAGTCATGTTTTCAGGATTTCCCTCAGATGAAACAGCTGTGGTAATTACTAAGGCAGTGAAACTGATCAAATCACCTGTGCAAAATAATGGAAATCCTGAAAACATGACCTGTTGGGGGTCCATGAGGACTGGAGTTGAGAAACACTGATCTAAGGAGATTGGACCATGCTGTCTTTTTTGTGATGTGCCTTTAATTTTATTCTTTTGTGAGTATACTACTTTTATTCAATATACCTCATTTTTAGAAGGTAATGCACTAGACCCCTGAGCCCTCTGTTTGTTTACATGTATCAGTATGTCACTGGTCCGCATGAGGTTAATACAGGGCAGGATGAAAATTTCCCAAAATCTGCGCCAGCACTGAAAAGCTGGGTGGCAGAAATATTACGGATTTGATCCGACATACAGTTTTCATCTGTACAGGGAGCCAAACAGGATCCTTGTGTACAGTTCTCAATTCCCCCAGCAGCCACAATTACAATTCTCTGCCCCCACCCTCCAACCACAAATCATAGATTAAATCCTACAGTATCCAGTTATACTGTTCCAACCCCACCCAAAGTGACCATTCTTTCAGGTTCCACTCAGTCAACGTATGATCACTTCCCATTGCCTAGCATTGCTGAAAATAACAGTTGGTAGGGCAAATAATCTTTGTAGTTTTTGGTCTTAAAAGGATAAATTCCCTATTTTAAAGAAAATTATTAATGCCCATTTTTTTTTCAGGTAAAAAAAAAAAAAAATGTGCATTTACTATACTTTTTGGAGCCTGGAAAGCACTGTAACGATGATCAGCAGATGGCAAATGCACGGTCATGCAACGCTGCACCTAAATGAAATTTACACCCTTTTTTTCAAACACGTGGAGCTTTCTTTTGATGGTATTTGATCGCCTGTGCGTTTTTTATTTTTTGCGCTATGAAAAAAAAAAAAAAAGACTGCCAATTTTGAGGGAAAAAAAAACAATATTTGTTACTTTTTGCTATTAAACATGTCCAGTAAAAAAACTTTTAAAAATCAAATTTCATCATAAATTTAGGCCAGAATGTATTCTGCAACATGTCTTTGCTAAAAAAGAAAAAAAAAAAAAAAAATCCCAATACATGTAAATTTGTTTACGTGATAGTTATAGCCTTTGCAAACGGCGGTATATATACTGGAATTTATTTTACTAGTAATGGCGGCGATCAGAAACTTATAGTGGGACTGTGTCGGGCATTCTAACACTGGGGGGGGGAACTGACTTGGTGTCACGGACATCCCCAGTGACACCAATACAATGATCAGTGCTAATTAAAAGCACTGACACTGTACTAATGGCATTGGGCAGAAAGGGGCTAACATGTGGGGCGATCAAAGGGTTAACTGTGTGCTGTTTTACTGTGTGTGCTGTGTGTTTTACTAGGGAAACATGCTGCTGTGTATTGCTCTGATGTGCAGAGTAATACAAATCAGCATGTTGGTGCTGACAGGGCAGAGATCTGTGTTGTTTACACACAGACCTCTCCCCTTTCACTGTTCCTTGGCGATCGGCAGGTGCCGGTGGGGAATCTCAGGCTGGGAACCGGTGGCGTCACAGGTAGGGCGCCATGCGTGGTCCCTACCCGGAAATGCAAAATCAAGTATATATACACACACGTGATTTTGAGCAACCCTGCTGCCCTGTAGCAGTAGTTCTGCTATAGGGCGGTCGGGAAGCGATTAAATAATATAAAACCTAACAATAACATCACACTCGCATGTATATCTGCATAAGGACCAGCACCAGGTACATACAGTGTTAGGTGTTAAGAAGGCATCCCGAGACCAGATGCCTGTTTGCACTCCACGGATGGGATGTATCTGTTAGGAAACACTGCTTCAACTACCTTTGCCTGTAATTATAATTTTTTTGGTTAAACTTAGATTTAGTATCGCTAGGTTCACATAGCTGCAGTGTGATATCTCTCTCTCTTTCTCTGGAATCGTGTTACCTTAGGACAGATAACCGGTTTCAATTCAAGTCTATGTAACTACAAATCACACCGCACTTCTGCCTGGCAGTACTCGAGTCGTTGGTTCGAATCACAACCACGGCACCACCTGCCTGGAGTTTGCATGTTCTCCCTGTGCCTGTGTGGGTTTCCTCCAGGTGCTCCGGTTTCCTCCCAAACTCCAAAGACATGCTGACAGGTTGTCTCCTGACTAAAATTGTCCCTAGTATGTGTATGTATAATGTGAGTTAGGGACCTTAGATTGTACGCCCCATGAGGGTTAGGGACTGATGTGAATGTACAATATTTATTTTGATTTATTTCAGGTATTTATATAGCGCTGTCAATTTACGCAGTGCTAAGTATATGCATATTTTGTCTTTATAATTTATTTTATTTATTTAAGGTACTTTTATAGTGCTGTCAATTTATGCAGTGCTTTTACATCTACAGTATATTGTACATTTACATCAGTCCCTAACCCTCAGGGGTGTACAATCTAAGGTCCCTAACTCATATTCATATACAAGGGCCAATTTAGACAGGATCCAATTAACCTACCAGCATGTCTTTGGAGTGTGGGAGGAAACCGGAGTACCCGGAGGAAACCTACGCAGTCACAGGGAGAACATGCAAACTCCAGGCAGGTGGTGCCGTGGCTGGGATTCGAACCAACGACCCTAGTACTGCCAGGTGGAAGTGCTAACCATTTAGCCACTGTGCTGCCCAATATATATGTAAAATGCTGTGTAAATTGACGGTGCTATACAAGTACCTGTAATAAATAAATAAGACCAAGGGTGGAAGGTGCTGAACTTTGGAAAACATAGCTGCTTCTGAGCAGGTTAGCAGCCACACACACAGCAAGGAAAGACATCTGTTGGTCAGTTGAAAAGAAGAGAGGAGTAACTTGAAGAATATTTATGGAAAAGGTCAGAAATATATTCTGTAGCAGCTCAATCCATCTATGCAGAATCCTAATGATACAGTTAGTGTTTTACATACATATATATATTCCAGCTACATCACCATTTCATAATTCTTTGCTGTTAGTGTGAAAGGTGAAAAAGAAGAAGCAAGGAGGATGAATCTGAGGACGATAAGAAGATCACGTAGAAAGATGCTGCGGGCAATTTCTGTACACCTTCACCTTTTCTTCTAACCGCCAATTCCTAAAGTTCCAATTTATTCAGCCAATGTACACTAAACGGACAAAAAAGGCCCGTCACTTCAAAGTTCATGTATATAAAAAAAGAACGAACTCCACTAAACTTCTTCCAGTTCTGTTGTTTTTCATTCATTGCATGAAAATTAACCTGAATTAACCAAAATGACTTCCAAGGTAGCAACACAGTGGAGACAAGCATGGTGGTTGCGTGTATACATGTACCTGTACACGGATCTACAGTACTGAGCACAAGTCTTAGGGCTCCATGTACACTGCAGCTGATAAACTCACGTTTAGGAGATGTTCAGAGGTTTTTGTAGCAGCCCCTGAACTCTCCCTAATGTTTTCCTGTCCATGTACACATCATTGTTTACAGGCAGTTGAGTTTAGTCGTTTTTTTTGAACTTGTGTTCAGCAGTAGATTTGATCAGCGTTTCAAACGAAAAAAACGCTGGTAAAACGCCAGGGTGGATAAAAATCAATGATTTTAAAAAAAAAAAAAAAAAAAAAAAAAAAAAAATCGGATTTTGTTTGATTTAAATCGGATTTTTTTTTTATTTAAATCGGATTTTTTAAAATAAAATGCTTTTTGAGGAAAATATATTACCATCCAAAGGTTATTCCATCATGAAATAAAGATTAGTTTTTTAATTATGTAGAATAAGGCTATATATGTTTAATTTTTTTGGTAAATAAATTCCATGAATCCATTCACAATGTCATGCTCTTCCAGAGGTTTTTGTAAGATTATTGGGCAGTTTCTCTGCCTACAAGATATTATCACAGA